CATGTGCCCCCTAGCTCTGTGCCACCATGCTATAGAAATAATCTGCCTTCCCCGTGAGAAGCCACTTCACACACCCGGAGATTAACACATGAAAAGCTTCTTACTTAAAAACCAAAACAACTCACAGTCGATCGGAAGAGCCGAGCCCTGAGTAGAAGATATTACACTAGCTTATGCTCACCTGAGGTTTATGCTCTTTTAAAGCACAATCTCTTTATTCTTTGAGTATTTTACATCATGCACCCCAATCCCACTCACCTCCCAGCCCCCACATATTCTCTCCTCATTCCTGCAGCACTCCCTAAAAGAAAATTTAAAAGAAGTCAAAACAAAGCAAGTGAGCAAACAGACAACCAACCCTCTTTGCCTCTCCGTGTCCCTTGTCTCCAGCACCTCCTTATCCATCCTGTGCACTGGGAGCAACGCGGTAAACCCTTCCGTCTAATTAGAGTTTCTAGCCAATGTTCACTGCAGTGAGTCACTGGTCTGGTTCAAGGCCTCTGGTTTCTGGTACACCCGAGGCTCATGCATTTTACATGTACTGCCATCTGTAAGTCTCCATTAGGCCCCAGCCCCAGGTCACACTTTGGACAATTTGTACAGACACAGGAGACTGCAAGTCTGGCTACTTGGGCAGGTGAGAAATTTGCATAGAAAGCTGTTGCTAGAATCCTCCGTAAGCACCCTGGTGTTGTTCTTTCTGGACAGTTGTTACACAGGTCCACCCCTCCCCCGCAAAGGGCAGAATTATACTTTTTCTGAGAAGAGCGTGGGGGAACTTAATGACAGACTAGGACCCGATGGTAGCTGTGACTCTGTGGGTGCCCACCGAGCTGCCTGTGAGCGGTGTGCTCTTTGGGGATGGGTCTAATGGATGGTCAATCCGGTGAACAAACGTTTACATCCTAGCATCGTAGTTTGCTTAACTATAACAGGCCTGGTGGGAAGACTGTTTACCTTTGGGGCATTTTGGAAGCAGCGCTCCTTCAACTAAATTCTATGTTGTGTGATTTAATGTCGCCTAAGCAAATATATCATACAATTCTATTACTTTGAGTTTCTTCTATATCAAACACACTCTATAATGTTTATACAATAGTAAATCAGCTGTTGGGGTTAAGTGACCCCAACTGTGTTTCCCCCCTGGTGATTTGCCCTTTTCTATTCTATAAGGAGACTTGGGAGCTAAATACTGTGCTTGGAGTTGTTCATGGTTAGATTTGATCATAATTACTTTGCAAGGCTCAGATACTGGCACCCCAGCAGTACAGCATTGTCTCACCAGGGAGTGTGGGAGGCCGGAGAGCGGGGAGTGAGAGAGTGTTTAGAGAAACACAGGAGGAAAAAGAGGGGAAAAGAGGGGTGCCATTCGAGGAAGAGGGGGAGGAAGAGAGAGAGACATATACAGAAACACACACACACACACACAGAAAGAGAGACAGAGAGAGAGAAGAGGGGAGAGGAAGAGACTCTGGGGTGGGCTGCCCTAGGCTATGTGCAGTGTGGGTCCTGTACCCTGTTCTATCTGCCGGTGCTGCCCCGTTCTCTGAGCCCCGCTGTAAGGTCTACACCTGCAGTTTTCAGTTGCAAAGACAAACACTGGAGAATGTGCAATCGAAGAGGGGGAAATCTGTAAGGGGTCCGTGGGTCTCTCCTGTCTCTTGAGGGAGTATCTCTCATAGGGCCAGGAAGTTAACCTGGTCTTGAGACAATCATGAGCTTAAGAAATTTGAGCAGCAGTTACATCATTCCTACTATTGTCTTGGCAATTGAAATGTCAAAATTCGTAACACAGCGCTTTCTAAAATATACATTTTAGGCAACTCTGGGAGGTGGGGTGAGCAGGACTCTGAGGCTGGGTTCTGGGGTTGTGTAAGATTGCCTCACTGGGCTGCTCGCCCCAGAGGCCTCTTCCCAGTAAGGTCTTGGCAAACAGGACAAAATTACAGTCATTTATTTATGCAGGGTATCAAACTTAGGGTTATCATCTGAGACTGAGCCAGGTTCTGCCACGTCCCCTGGGCAAACCAACTAAAAGGGTCAAGTCGATATTGGAAAGCAGAAAGTGGAGATTTGCTCAATGTGGCCACATTGCAAGAGGGATAAGGGGCCCCAGCAAACCCCCGAGTTCATGTTCTGGGCTCTGAAATGAGGTTGACATTTATAGAAAGGGAGGGGGATGTGCGTATCTCGGCGGCACAGGTCTCAATGTGGTCCCACCTGAGGTTTCAGTCTCATTCTGTAAGGCAGTTTGACAAGTTGTCAGAAATCTTTCCTAGACACAAATTCCCCCTGTGGTGGGGACAGCTTCCTTTTCCAAGCATGAGATTCCTGGGAAATCTCCCATTTTAGGGTTCATCCTTTCAGCAGTGCGACAGTCTGGCTGAGAGACGCAACTGTCCTTTTGTGTCATTGCTGCCAGGCTCCTTACAACAGGAGCTTCGTGCTGTGCCTTCTCTAGCCAGGGACATTTTATGTTCTGACCACAGAGGCGGTTTTGAGTGGCACCTGGCAGGCTCTGCTGAGCTCTCAGCTGGACTACGGTGCTGTTGTCGCTGCCTCCTAACAAGCTATGTGCCTGTGTCTCCTTCTCCCTCTAGTCTATCCCATAACCCTTGAACTGATGTGTCCAAAGCACAAATATGATGCTAGACTTTCCCTTCCCGCATCCGTTGCTGTGTCTTCCCTTGGCTCTCCCACCTCAGGAGTGAGCTCCTTGGCTCCTTACCCATCCTTTTCACCTCCCCTCGTATGTCCATGCTCCTCATTCCCACACAGCCGTGCACCCGCCACACCCCAGACTTTTTCTGAAGCATATTTCTGTCTGTCTTGAGATGTCTGCAGCCTCAGCTTCAAGACATTTCAATTTTCACTCCTTCTAGCTAGGCTTGGTGGCTTATGTGTATAAATCCTGGTGCTCAGGAAGCTAAGGCGGGAGAATCACTCCAAGCTTGAGGCTAGCCTGGGTTACATTACAAGATACTTTTTTTTTTTTTAAAGAAAGAAGGTAGGAAAAAAAAAGAAAAAAAAATTAAAACAGTCCTCAGATACATTCAAGTGCACTTCACCAGCTAAGACTGACTGTCTCAGGTTGCAATTCAGAATTTTAAGGATACTGGTAGATACATCAGCAAATTCTGATATTGGAGAAAAGCCACCTCCCTTCTGGGTAGACAGCTCTACAGATTCCAGTCTCAAGGTTCCACCTAGTGTCACCTTGACTTTCCCTTTTCATATTAGAATGACCCAAGGACCTGTCTGATCTTCCCTGCAGGTCTTGTGGCTCCTGGCCACGCCTCCCTCAGTGCAGTGGTTCCTTGGAGCAGTCTGGAGGGCCTAGCAGTTAGTGAGTGTCCCATTAATGTATCCTGAAAGAACCAGTGGCCAAAAAGCAAACAAATAAGGAAATTAGTTTTTTCCCAAAATTCTAGAGTCTTCCTGATCCACACAAGGTGCTGTGGTCACTGCCTTGATCAGATTCAGACATGGCTATCTATGACTTCCTTTGTTTTTATAAAGCTAAAGCTTCTGGGAACTGCTTCCACTTTGGAATATGGAATTTGGGGTAGCCCAAGTCTGTGTTCCCAGCCATGGCCACTCACCATGACTCCAGGACAAACTATTTCTTATTCTGTTTAATGAGAGCTGGGATTTTGTGTTGAAATACTACCATGTGTCATAGCACACCTAGATAGATCTAAGAGGGACTTTTCCCTTTGCTAGACAGACCAGTTTTTTCCTAATGGGAAGGAGGGGGCTCAGTCACCGTGACTGCCTCTGTTTAGCTATTTGCAGAAAATCCTGGGACTCTGCAAAATGATTGCTCTGAGATATTTGCCTGGATTCTAGAATGGCCACCACACTCAGGGTTCACAGAGACACGAGACAAGGAGAAGTGCTCTTGACATGTGGGAATATCCATCCCCCCTGTTCTTCACCAGAGGCCAAGTCTCTAAGTAGCTAGTGTGGCCTTAAGGCTTCCTTAACTGGTCACTTGCCTCAGTGGCCCTGCTCCCTCTGTGTGTGAGCCTCTGCTTCCAACTTCTTACAGCTCTAGGCTTTCTACCTTTCTGTTTAGCCATAACCAAGACTTTGTCTTTTAGGTGGGAATGCAGAGGCTGCATGGTGTCAGGACAGTGACAGCAGCTCCGAGGGCGGTGGAACAGGACACACAGATTGGAGCAAATGTCCTTGCTGGGCTGAGCTCTTGGCCACTGACGAGGGACTGCAAGAGTGTCTTCTGTCCTGTGAGGTCATCTGGTCCTCGTTGCTCATGGTCCCAATCCTCAGACTCCACAGGCTCTGTAAACAAAGTCCTATCTCTCTACAGCACCCAGGGAATTTGAGATGCAGAGCCAAGTCAGAGCTCATCTCCTTCACTGGGCAAGTGAGTGTGTTCACCCCACCATCCTGCTGCAGTCATGGTGGACTTGGGGGTAACTGCACTTCCATCCATGTGAGAACCACAGAGGCCCATCAGCACGTACGTTTGGGATTCTATGTCTATTGGGAGATCTGCCTGCCTTCTTGCATCCTGTGTGGGCCTATTCTCCATATATCCTTACTCAGTACACCTCCCTGGGCATGGGTGAAAGAGAGAGAGAGAGAGAGGGAGAGAGAGAGAGGGAATACAAGAATAAGAGAAGTTGCACAACGCCAAGGTAGACTGTGGTCTGAGAAGTGAGGCCCAACATCAGAGACAGAGACATGGAGAGGGAGGTAAGCTTAGGGACTCGGTGTGGACATAGGTTGTTGGCTCTTTTATTATTATTATTGTTGTTGTGACTGGAATGGAGGACTGGAGCTTCAGACTAGGGCAGGACTGTTCAGTATTCAGACCCCTAGGAAAGACAAGTGTGAAGGCGGCAGAAACAGCACACAGATCACTGGAATGGATAAAGACTTTATTTTTATCATTTCCCAGCCCCACAACTAAGACCATCTGGTAAGACATTTCATTTTCCCTTGGTTGGGCAGATGCAAAGTGGCTGGTCTCCTAATTACTTCCCGAAGCCGGAGCCATGGCTGTGATCATTCCCACGTGGGTGGTTCCCCTCATGCATCTTCTCATGGGTGGCATAGACCAGCTTTGCCACCAGCATGACAAACTCCTCAAAGCTCAGCTGCTTGTCCTGGTTTGTGTCCAGGTCCTCCATGATGTCATTTATGATTTTGTCACGCCTTTTCTCCTTCTGTGGGTGAAACAGAGGAGACTTTTAGGGCTGAGGGTACCCAGGGAAGAGGACTTGGAGCACAGCGAGGGGCTAAATGCAAAGGGAAACCTGGTCCCTGGCGTTAGATTGAAAAATGAGAATAATGTTCTGAGTGTTCATGGTGGAGCAGATGCTAAACATGTACTAAACACTTCTAGTTTGTTCCCCAGACGGCCCTCTGCCTTGGACACTGGGACTCTGCTCTATAGAAGGCCAAGCAATTAGTAAGTCTAGAACTGTCTGTCATTTATCTGTATAACTACTTGAACATATAGAAATGGAGACTGGCCTTCTGAGAGGTCCATCATTTCTACAGGATGTAGAGGATGGGAGGAGAGGAGGTGCACATTTGGATCTGATTTGGAGGATTATTTATGCACCCCCTCACTTTCCTCAGCCTCTCAGTCACCCCACTCTCGTCCTTTCCTTGGAGGTAAAACTTATTTAGGCTACTAAGTCGGGGAGGCACCCCAGAAACCATGGGATCTTAGGAGCAAACCAAGCTCTGCTGACCCCAAAGGGTGTGGTAAAGTGTAGGGAAGACTCAGATAAAAAGTAAAGATCAAGATGCTTCATCAGCTGACTGCACTCACTTGCTGGGACACCTTGGCTAAGCACCACCCTGTCCCACACCCTGAGCAGTCCATGTTTGAGGTCCCAGTTTCCACTGGCTCATCACCCTGTAGAACCCATGAAGAGATCCCAGAGAAGATATCTGGCAGCATAGCTTCATGTGTACCCTTGGTCTACCCCGAGTCAGTGCCTTGTTTGCCCAATATGCCCACTTATGAGGAAATGTCTGTGTCCTTAATACCTCCCATAACCACAATTCTCCAATTTTCCTTTGCGGGGGGGTGGGGAGGGGAGACCAGCCTATAGGAGCTGGCCTTAATATGAACAGGCTCCTCACTCCCCTAGGGAAAAGATATAATATATAAAGTGAAGGTTTTCTCTGGCTCTGACGCACATGCATGCTCCTCTCCCCCTTTCAGCGGCCCCTCCCACATTGTCCGTGGTAGCCTTTTCTCTTTTCTTTCACTTTATGCTATTTTCTTCAGTGTCCTCATAATGCATTTAATGCTCTCTTCCCTAAAGACTGGATCTTGGCCTCCATCATCTTGAATTTCTTTCTCCTCATAAAGCCCATTTTGAAGGGTAACTGGTCTCAGCTTCCTTCTCTAGGAGCCAACAAACCTGCCATGCCACCTCATTGCTTTAACAACCTATGAGTCCTTTACCAGGGACTCAGCTGAAGTGTTGCCCCCTCAAAGGGGAGGACCTTTTCACTTTTTTAAACCATAGCCAGTCACCCCACCCTGCTGCAGCCAGCACAGACTACCCACAGAACTTTTATATTTCTCCTGACTTCTAGGCCATTGAAGTTGCCTGTGTTCTTAAGGTTGTATGTCACCAACACTGGGATAATGGAGTCCCATATCATCTCTGCATCCCTCTGCACAGAATAGAGTACCACACATTGCAGGTGTTCAACAAAACAATTTCCTGACTTATGTCTAACTTTGAGTACCTCTAGTGACAGAACCCCAATGTCCCTGGTGGAAGGTGATGGCGTTGTCTCCCTGAATCCTACAGACTGCACCTCTTCCCTTACTAACCAAGCCTCACCTTCATAAAGTTTGCCAGATCTTTCTTCACCATCTGTTTGAATTCCTTCTGGCTCAGGGTGTCTGGGTCTCCTTCCATCTTCGAGTTCGTGTGGAAGACGTCGATGACGGTGTCTATGCTGCGCTCCATCAGAGATGGGTTTTGGTTGGCCATCTTCTTACTCCTCTTTGAAAACAGGACACACAAAGGTTCCAAATGAGCGGATAGGGTGCTGAGTGTCCCTGGCCTGGTCTGTGGCCACGGTCAGGCAGGAAAGGGAGGAGAAACACAAAGCAAAAAGAGTGACGGAACGTAAAAAAGCGAACCATTTTACAACACAGCACTTAGAGAAACTGAAGGAAGATGTCAAGAGGACAGGGTCAACCAAGGAGCCCTTTTTCTAGAGGAGGACTTGGAAGAAAATTGGCTAAAGGAAGGAATGAAAAATCTAGCAGGCAGGCTCCCCGCCAGAGAAGACGAAGCTCACTTACCAAAGCTAAAGAGCTACTGAGTGCTTGGCAGGAGCAGCATGAGTCCTGCTTTTATAGGCAGCCCCTTGCTAGACACATGGTTGTCCCTGGGAAAGATTGCTTCACAGGTGAGCAGGGAGGGAGCCGGGTGGAGCAGGAAATGGTCACACAACTCATTTTGCTTTTTTGTGAAATTTCTAGCCCTGGGCTTGGAGCTTGTTTGGGAGGAAACTGGTTAGTTGGCCCACTTCCTTTCCATCCAACACCCCTCACCTCCATCTTAAGCAAGACAGCCTGCCTGCCACACCTCTGATACCCTTCGTTTTCCTGTCCCAACTTGTAATATACAAAGGGTGTCAGAAGATCCATAGTGACCATCTCATTTTGTCTTTGTTTGTTATGTGGACACTCTGTTCCCTGAGTTTACAGACTGAGCCTTTCCCAGTGTTTTCATGGTTCCTTTGGGAAGGGTGAGGGGTTGTCATAGAGTTCTTGAGAGGAATTAGTGTTAGGAGATCCTCAGAGGTGACTCGCTTTCCCACGGTACGTAAATCTGATGTCCAGAAGCGGACCTGAGCAAGATCTCTTTTAGCTGGTGTGTGACCTAGCAGGGGCTGAACTCAGACCTAGTCCTTGCTTAAGGGCATTTACTGCTCAGTACTTTCCCTCTTGCATCTGAGCGAGGATCTGTCTTTGGTACAAATGCAACTCCACTGGCTTTCAGCGTCATGCTTCCAAATCCTGTTCCCAGCTCTCTTTCCTCCAGTAGCTTGCATCCTAGAAGATAGCTGTTTCGGAAATGATTACTAGCCTATGTTAACTACACAAAGCAATGGGTTCCCAGCTGTCATTCCTCCAGGAGCTTACGTCCTAGAAGATAGCTCTTTTAAAAATGACTGTTGGCTTATATTAATTATACAAAGCCGCGGGTTTCATTTTAACATTTTCATACATGCATGTAATGTACTTTCATCAAAAATTTTCCCTCTATTACCTTATCATTTCCCCCTTTCTCTCTTTCTTTTCCCCCCTTCTACCCTTCTATAATCCTCTTTCATATTCTTTTCTGGGGGCAGTGGTTCATCAAGTCATTCTTTAGACACGAGTCAGTAAACAAGGTTTCTTTAGTAGTCTGCCGGGGCATCAGTCTGGGCAGCAGCAAGGATTCCACCCACAGTCCTTTGCTTTGCTTTCATGTCCTGTTTCTCTCATCCTTAATTCACATGTGGGAGAGACCACGCAACGCTCGGCTTGTGAGTCTGGTTTGCTTAGCATGGCAATCTCTATTCCAACCATCTTTCTTGCAAATGGTACAATTAGTTCTTTATGGTTGAATAAAGCTTGCTTGTGTGTGTATAGCACATTCTTTTTAGCCATTTATCTCGATGGGCACCCAGCCTTCTTGTGTGTGTTGGCTCTAGCGAATAGTTCCACAGTGAGCATAGATGTGCAGGCAGGTTATTGTGCGATGACTTTGATTCCTCCATGCTGATTTCTATAGTGACTGGATTAAGTTACATTCCCAACAAGTTCCCTTTTGTTGATATTCATTCCAACATTTTTTGCTTCTTTCCTTTATTTTCTTCCTTCCTTCCTTCCTTCCTTTCTTTTTTCTTTCTTTAGACAGGGTTTTTCTCTGTAACTTTGGCTGGCTTGAAACTTGCTATGTAGACCAAGCTGACCTTGAACTCACAGAGATTCACCTGCCTCTGCCTCCAGAGTGCTGGATTAAAGGTGTGCACCACCATGCCTGGCTGTTGCTTATTTTCTTGATGGTATCTACGGTGATTGGAGTGAGGTGGATTTATGAGTTTTGACTTACATTTCTGAAATGGCAATGATATGAATATCTGTCATACATTTGGTGCCTGTTTGTACTTGCTCAAACGGAAAAATGTCTGGTCAGTTTATGACTGGATTATCTGTTCTTTTGATATTTAATTGTTCTAGTTTTTGTATACCTCCTGTTAGATGAATGGCTGACAAACATTTTCTTTCATTATGCAGACTGTTATTTCGCCGCCGTCTCCTTTGCTGCTCAGAGGCATCTAATTTAGTGTAATCTCACTGATATTTCCTCAGCCTTTGACGTTCTATTACATCAAGGCATTTGATTAATGTTGAGCTGACATTTGTCAATGTTAAAGAGAGGAATCTAATTCCTGTCTTTGATGTTGCTTGCTTGAGAAAAGTCTCACATAGCCAAGGCTGGCCATAAACTTGCTGTGTAGCTCAGGACGATCATGGACATCTGATCCTCTTGACTCTGCATCCCAAGTTCTGGCATTACAGGCAAGTGCCACAATTCCCAGTTTGTGTGAAGCTGGGGTAGGGCTGCGTGAGTGCCGGGCAAGCATTCTGCCAAGCGAACCCTGTCCCGGGTTTCAGTCATCTACATGTGCCGTCCAGTTCTCCTGGTACCGCTTGTTAAAAAGGCTATCTTCCTCCCCCAACATCTCTGTTGAGAGTCGGTTAGATGGCTGCAACTGTGACACTCTCATGTCCCACGCGTTCCATAGCCTCTCTCCAATTCCTCAACACCTCCTTCGTGGTCCCCTTTCCAGCTTCCAGACCTACCCCTGCGCTCACACCCTCATCTGTACATCTACGTGTTTATCCATCCACCGCTCTGTGCAGGAAGCATTGGGAGCTAGGATCTCCACTGCGTGCATGCGCCACGTTTTCATTATCCTTTCACTGGTGGATGGAAATCTAGGCTGTTCCCACTCCCTTGCTATTGTGCAGGTGTCTCTATCTAGACTATGGACTTCTTTGAGTACGTGCCCAGGAGTGGCCTAGCCGGGTCATACAGTAGTATTATTTTTTAACTTTTGACCAAACCTCCAGGATGATTTCCATACTGACTGTACCAGTTTACAGCCCCACATCAGTGACTTAGACAATCCTTGTCATTATAGCTATAATGTAAGCTGAGGCCGGGTATCAAGACATCTCCAGCAGTGTTCTTTAAGCTCAGAACGGCTTTGACTGTCTGTGGTCTTTGTGTTCACATAAATTTTTGGGTTGCTTTTTCTAGTTCTGTAAAAAATTTCGTTGGGCTTTTGGTGGTAATTGTATTGAATTTGTAAACCTCTTTTGATAATATAACATATTCACAATTTAATTGTGTCAGTGCAGGAAGACTGTTTCTTTCCATTATTTACCATCTTCTATTTTTTCCTTCCTTTCTTCCTTTTTTTTTCTACTGTAGAGAGACTTCACCCTCTTGCTTAGGTTTACGTCTAGGTTTCTTCCCATCTTTGAGGTACAGCGATTGTGATATAATTTCATTCTCATAAAGCTGATGCTTGGTGCATGTAGAGAAGCTATTGATTTTTATATGATGATTTTGTATATTGCGGTCCTTGTAACTTCACTGGAAGTGTTTATCAGATCTAAAGGTTTTCTGGTGGAGGGCTGTGTGAGTGTGTGTGCATATGTGTGCTTATGAGTGTGTGTATGCGTGCTTCTGTGTGTGTGTGTGTCTGTGTGTGTTGGCTAGAGATTGATGCCAGTTGTCTTTCTTTATAGCTCTCCACCTTACATCTTGAGGCAGGGTCTTTCCTGGGTTCAGGTAGGCTGGGCAGCCAGAGCCTGAGGGCTCCATCTTCCCAGGACTGGGATTGCAGACATGCAGATACACTTGAGATTTATGTGAGTGTGGAGGATCTAAATTCAGGTCTGCATGCTTTCATGGCAAGCTCTTTACTAGCTAGGCCATCTTCCCAGCCTTCGGGACCTTCTGTCGGTTTTATAGTGTCTTCTGTGTTAGTGCCATGGTGATTTTGTGGCTACTGTGGCTTAGTCTGAAGTTAGGTGTTGTCATTCCTCCGGCATCATTCATTTTGCTTAGGTCTTTCTATATCCTGCAGAGAAGGGTAGGAGAGCCAATAGGATTGGTTCGGCTCTTTGGGGTCTTTTGTGCCTCCATAGGGATTTTAGGATTGATGATAACTGTTCTTCTATAGCTTCCCCATGGGTAGCATGTGTCCTTCCCTAAGGTAAATGCTGCCCATTGTCCACAGAAGCCAAGGTGGCATAGCCCAGTACATAAGCTCTCTCTCTATATACAGACCCCACCATTTTCTCAAGCTTCTTTTTTACTGTGGCCTCAGAAGACCCGTCTCTTATCCCCTCACCTCAGGAGTACCCTTCCTCAACCCTCAGTGTGGACTCCAACCCGGATCACATGGTTCAGTTCAAATGCTGCTCTAGTCTTCCTAGTGGGAGATAATCTCCTCTTTGGGGCCTTTCCCGACAACACTCTGGCTTTCAACATGTATTTTCTTGGAGTAAAGTTATATGAATATTTGCATCTGACTAATAATTGCTTATAGATTTTCTTTTTTTTATTTATTTTTTTATTGAGAAAAGGAGAAAAAAAAAACAAGTTTCCACCTCCTCCCAGCCTCCCATTTCCCTCCCCCTCCTCCCACCCTACGCCCCCTCCTCCCACCCTTCTCCCCCTCCCCCCACTCCTTTCCCCCTCCCTCTCCAGTCCAAAGAGCAGTCAGGGTTTTCTGCCCTGTGGTAAGACCTAGGACCTCCCCCCTCCGTCCATATCTAGGAAGGTGAACATCCAAACTGGCTAGGCTCCCACAAAGCCATCACATTACGTAGGATCAAAACCCCGTGCCATTGTCCTTGGCTTCTCATCAGCCCTCATTGTTCGCCATGTTCAGAGAGTCCAGTTTTATCCCATGCTTTTTCAGTCACAGTCCAGCTGGTCT